TATATATATATAAGGTGCTGTGCGACCATTGGCAGCATGACTTGCTATGAGCTATTTACCAAACCAGGCAATAAGTATATTTTTTGTCACTGTGACAGAATTCCTTCTCTGTTTTGTTTAAATTTAGCTCCATTGTGAGATGGTGCTTTGTGGGGTTTTTTTGGTAAGAAGTTTTTTTTTTTTTCCTTGGAACTCTCCCATAGATGCCATTTTTGCCTAATCTTTGTGTTTTTGTTGAATCATGAACACTGACCTTAAGTTGGGCAAGTGAGGTACGCAGTGCTTTCAATGTTCTTTTGGGTTCTTTTGTGTTTTCCTGTATAAGTTGTAGATGTGCTCTGTGTGAGTAATTCTGATAGGCTGGCCACTGCTGAGGTGGTTCACCGCTCTTCCATGTTCTCTTTATTTGTGGATAATGGATCTCACTGTGGTTTGCTGAAGTCTCAAAGCCTTGGAACAGTTTTTTAACCTGTTCCATTAGGCTGCACACATCACATATTTATCATTGTTGCATTTTTACTTTACGCAATATACTTATCACAAAGACTGGACTGCAAAATGCTCACTAATTGTTTATGTAGGATGTGTTTAGGCTCTCAGGGTCTGTAATATATTTGTTAGTTAATGCAGCATTTCTTGTTTTATTAGTTAAAAGGTGATAATGGTCGAGGCAAGAAACTACAACCAGGTTACTTTAATGCCCAAACAGCAGAAATCGACCAGAAGCAACTTGATTTCTTGATTGCAGTCTGAAATTTAACTAACAAAAGTGTAGTTAATCAATATTAATTCATGATTTAACAAAGGGTGTGTGTATGTTTCCACATAGAATCAGGTTTAGCTCTTTTATCCCTTATTAAATGTTATTTGGCAAAAATAAAAACCGAAAAAAATCTGTAAAGCGGAAATGCTTTTTGCAAGAACTATAAATAAGGGCAATCAACCAAAACAATAGTTAATGAATAAAATGAAAAAGAAATTAATCTTGCATATGGGTTAGGTCAGAACTGACAAGCTCATTTGAAGTTTTCACCATGCTGATCATTTTTGTTATTATCATTTACATTCGACCCAAAAACCTGAAATATGATTAGAAGGTTCAAAAATGTGATTAATAATATAAAACTTTGTGACAACAAACACACCACGAGATATTGTAATGATGCCACTGAGGTTTGTTGCTTTTTTTTAGGTCAACTGTACAAATGACAAGGGACTGAATAGAAAAAGAGAAAATCTTAAATTCAAACCAGCTTTTGGTGTTTTCCATCTAGAGTTACTTAATGACCTAGTTAGATTATATTAGTTATTTATCATTTATATATTTAATAGACTTTAAAGTGCCACACTTTATAATGTTTGTGTATTGAGCTTAACATGCAAGTTAAAAACAAGTAAGAATCACGCCTCTTAGAAAAAAGAATCTTTTAGTTTTCATTTCCTTATCCTCAATCATCAAGTTGTTCACTTTGTTTACTTGGTAGTGTTGTGAGTTGACATATGGTTGACGTTGTTAGTTTTCTGAAGTCACTTCAGCGTTCATTATCTGCATTGTGTGTTTGTGTGTCCGCGCGTGTGTGTGTACATGTTTGAGTATCTGTGTTTGCACATGTGCATGTGCTGTCAAGCTTCACTATTTTATCTGTTTCTAAAAATGCCTCTTCCCAGCATGAACCCCTCTAACAGCCACATTCAGTACACAAATATTCCAACACACGCTCACACTAAGAAAAAAGAGGTGTCAAAAATGCAAAATATGACTAATATTGGAGAAGACACACATGGTACCACCCAAGCCCACATATTTAATTTAGATAACTTTGATATGACTGATGTTAGCAAAAAAATGAAATATATTTTAAAAGTAGGACCTTTTCCCTTCCTCATACAGACAGTAATATTTCCTGCATGAGGATGTGTCTCCAAGATAAATCTCTGTGATTTACTGCTTGCTTGGAAGGTTGCAGTCCATGCACTGGTGGAGTGATTAATGCGTGCATTGATGTATGTATGCTTGCATGACTGTATGTCATGTAGATTAATCTGTCAGTCACGCGTCAAGTGTCACAGTTTTCACTGATCATATCATCACAGTTATTTTTAAATGTAAACAATTTATTAACTGGAAACAGTCATATATATGCGCTGTGTATAATAATTGCAATTAATGAAAGATTGCAATCTTTTTTTTTTCCATACTCACATTGTCAAATTTGTATAAAATAAGGAGAAAAAGCTAAAGAGGAATTGCGCGCTTTAGACATTTCCTTACATCAAAATGACAGCAATTTAACATTCAGGTTTCCTGCTTGAATGAGTGCACATATCCTTACAACAATCTCACAAACATACAGTATGGCCTGTAGGATCTGACCTCCTCACGCCTTGCAGAATGCATTTGTGCAGAGATATTGGGAAGTGAAGGGTAAATATCAGCCCCACAAATGGGAGCCTGCAGGTAGATGCTGGTGTAGGGATAAGCAGGCATGTCAAGTTTAAATGTAGCAATGCTGCTTGATTTGAAATTTATCAGAGGATGTACCAGAACAGAAATGACAAGTGTCCCTCGCGCTCTTGCAAAGTAAAGGTATTACAGCAGCATTGAGTTCTTGACATATTTGTTATGTTATTTGACTATTTACAATTAGAAATAACGTAGTATTTCTAAGGCCAAGATTAATATGTAAAAGGATAAATAAGGTAAATGGACTGAACTTATATAGAGCCTTTCCAGTCATACCGACCACTCAAAGCGCTTTACACAAGAACCATATTCACCCAATTGCACTCTGAAACGCACATACATTCATACGCAGATCACTAGGCAACTTGAGGTTAAGTGCCTTGCCCAGTGGCACATCGACATGTGGCAAAAGGAAGCTGGAATCGAACCCACAACTTTTGGATTGCTAGACAATTACTCTTCCCACTAAGCCACAGTTGCCTCAGTAAACAAGTAAACAAATGTCCTTGGTCTCAGATGTAATCAATGTTTAAGTTGCTATAGTCAAAATTTGCTAAAGCAGTTTTTTATGTTAAACCTTGTTGCTTCACTCGCTCACCCACTCGCTTGCTCACTCACCCACTCGCTTGCTCACTCGCTCACTCACTCACTCACTCACTCACTGTGCATAGAGTCAAGATTAACATAGTTCACTGTCAGCGAGGGACACTTGTGGTTCCTCATCCAGTTTAGTGACCACTGGCCTAAAAATTCTGCCCCTGTGTCAATTACATTTGATTGATGTTCTAGGAACATCCTGTTAGATGTTCCTAGAAACTCTGATCAACTTAAAAAGTAAAGTGTAAATAATTCTTCATTATCCAGTAGCATTTATTTTGCAAGGATTGTTAGAGTACCAACAATTTTGGCACTGCTGATTTTGGTAAAAATGCTCATGTCTCTAAATTCTTTTCAAGACTGAGTAAGTGCTACTGAATAAATTTATTCTAAGACGTGCTACTTCTTACTTTTTGTTTTTGCTATTGTTTCACAATACCAGTTCTGTTAAGTTGCAACATTGCTTTATAGTGTGTTATCCATCTCAAGATCCTTTAAAACTACTTTCTGTTATTTTGTTTTCTCTTCAGAGCCCCCACACCCAATTGCTCCACCCCAGCTCCTAGGTGTTGGCCCTACATACCTGCTGATTCAGCTCAACGCTAATTCCATATTTGGTGATGGACCTATTATACTTAAAGAGGTGTGTTCTTTATGAGATGATAAATCATTTTTAAGCATTCACTTTTATGAGTAAAAGTTGTAATAACATTGAGTGAGTAATTTAACAGAAGTGTATTCAACAACTGATGGAAGAGAATCCTAAATGCTATAACAAGACCAATATTTTTTGTTTGATCATTCCGTTCAGGTTGAATACCGGATGACATCAGGCACCTGGACTGAGACCCATGCTGTGAATTCTCCCAACTACAAGTTATGGCACCTGGATCCAGATACAGAGTATGAGATCAGAGTGTTACTAACGAGACCAGGAGAGGGAGGGACCGGAAAACCAGGACCACCTCTCATTACTCGCACCAAATGTGCAGGTAAGACAAAGAGGTCAAGGAAAATTCACAGCTTTATGGATGAAAATTCTCGTACAGCAAGAAAAAATACAGGTACCCAGAGTTTAGCCAGGTTTTGTCTTGCACATTTTTTCTGTTGTTTCTTTGTTTTGTTTTGTTTTTTGTCTACACCATCAACCATTGCCCTTTTGTTTTAGAATGAAAGTTTTATTTGGGGAAGAAATATTTGAAGAGTGAATAGGCAAGCAGAGTATGGGGAGAATAGAGAGAGGCTAAATTTAAGAGAAAAGGTGGGTATTCTGAAACTCAGATTGCATTTTTTATTCCTCACTTCTGACCTGTTTTTTTTTATCTTTTTACTTATGTTTACAGCTCCTCCTTCTATATATTCCTCCTTTCATATTCATTGGCTTTTCACCCTTCCTCTGTGCCTCCCTCTCCTCGTCTCCTTCGCTCTCTGTGGATCAATAGACGGAGGGCAGAAACAATGTCTGACATTTGTAGAAATAAACGACTGAAATAAAAGCACAGCTAGCCTGGAGGAGAGAGATGGCGTAGGCAAAAAAAAAAAAAAAGGATATGAAAGAGAGAGACACAAATAAAAGCAATGAGTTTGAATGAAAAACAGAAAAAGAGAGCAATGGAGATATGATGAAAAACAATAAGGCTGGGAAAGAAAGAGAAGAGAGACTCAGAGCGGGGAAGAGAGCAAGAGGCGAGGGAATGATGAAACTCGGGAATGAAAATGAAAGAAATGAAAACTCATAACCACACAGCCTGACTGATGTCTGTCAACCCCTCTCTCTGTGTGTGTGTGTGTGTGCGTGCGTGCGTGCGTGCGTGCGTGCGTGTGTGTGTGTGTGTGTGTGTGTGGGTGAATGAATTTGGATGGGAGTGTGTGCGTTTGTTCTTGATTATTGACAAAGAGGAAGTCATAGACTTGTTCAGGCAACTCATCTATTGAGCAGTTTCCTGTTTAACAGGAAGAGGAAATTAATCGTCTTTCTACTCTTACAACTGGAACACATCGACATCAAAGACACAGAGTTATTGTAATCCCCACAATGTGCTGACAATAGAATAAAAAAAAAAAGTAAAGTCATGATTTAAATCAAGTCAGACATTATATTTTAGTTCTTGTGATAATCAGTAAGGAAAGACTTTTGATGATGTTTAGAGAGAATTTTTTTAGCTTAGTTTAATTATTACTATTGCACAATTTATTTATCATGGACCAAAATTCAAATTTAATATGTTAAGTTAATTGCAAAAGGACTTATACACATTTTATCACATTACAACAAACTTCAATGAATTCTACTTTAGGTGATAGACCAACACAAAGAAGTGCATAATTGTAAAGTGGCAGGAAAATGCTAAGTGGTTTTCACATTTTTTACATTTAAAAACCTGAAACATTTAGTGAGCTGTTTTTTTCGGTCTGGTTTACTCAGATATCGATAAAAATCAAATCCAGGGAAACCAATTGCCTTCACAGATTCTCTAATTAGTAAATATAGTTCACCTGTTTGTATATTAATCTGACAATAATTGCAATTGTTTTGTTAAAGTCTCTGAAGTTTGTTAGACAAGAGTACTGAAACAAATAGCATCATGAAGACCAAGGAACACACCAGACATGTCACAGATAAAGTGCTGGAGTAGTTCAAAGCATAGTTATGCTGTAAAAGGATATCCCCACATCTCACAGAGCACTGTTCAGTCAATCTTCTAAAAATGGAAAGACAATGATGCATCTTCAAACCTATCATGATATTCACTTAAACTGAGAGGCTTGGCAAAGGGAGCGTTATTCAGAGAAACAACAGAGAACCCCTTGGTAACATCGAGGGAGCTGCAGAAATCCACAGCACAGGGGTAGGCTCTGTTTACAGGACCACTTTTAGTGATATTTTCCCAATTCTAACCTACACTGAAAAATGCAAGGGAATCTTTCTTTTCTGAGATCATCAGCAAAAACATTAACAATGCTGGTGCACTATTTGCCACAGTCGACAGGTTAACAAACTGTCCTGTAACTGTAGCATCTGAACTCCACTCTACCAGGGCCTGCAATGAATTTGCTAAATTCTTTACTGAAAAAACCCAAAAGATCAGAGGGGCAGTCAGCACATCCACATCAAC